ATACCTGTAACAGTTCCAACACAAAATCTGCTTATTTTATCAATTTTATGGATAACCCTGACTAGGAATGTAAGTGACTAGTCGAGTAGTCACTCCCCCCTCCCTTGCTGCCTCTATCAGAGGAAGCAAGGGTGGGAGCCAGCTTAAAAGTTGGTTTCCCCCAGCACCATCTCTGTAGCGGGGCAGGGGAGGCAGAGATGCAATGGGGGAATCAGGTGCGAGCTGTCCCAGCTCACACCTGGTCCCAGACCTCAGCTGTCTCGGCTCACACCTGATCCCAGAAGCTGTGCCATTGCCTTTTAAACAACATTTAAAAGGCAGAGGTACAGCGGGGGACTGGGCACGAGCTGGGACTCAGCTGTCCCAGCTTGCGTTTGGTCCAGAAGCTGCATGTCTGCTGTTGAAATGTAGTAGGAGCTGCCTGCGGCTCTTGCTACATTTTAAAGTCAGAGGCACAGCGGGCAGCTCTTGCTACATTTAAAAAGCAGAAGCGCAGCTTCTGGGACCTGGCGTGAGCAGGGACTGAAGCAGTCCTTGCTTGTCCTGGGTTCCCTACTGCACCTCTGCCTCCATGACCGGGTCCCCTGCTGTGTCTTTGAAATGTAGCAAGAGCCATGAGTCGCTCTTGCTACATTTCAAAGGCAGAGGTGCAGCAGGGATAGCGATCAACTCTCTTCCCCTTTATCGACTAATTGAGTAGTTGATGGAAATTCCATCAACTACTCTATTAGCTGATTAATTGAAATTTAACATCTCTAACCCTGGCCTGGAAAAAGTATTTTAAAAGCTGATGGGCTGTACATATTTTGCTACACTGTATACCCCTAGAGACATTTTATTCTTAATCCTATATGTTCTGGTTCAGTATTTTTTCTCTCTGAAATCTTAAGTCTGTATCTTTAGGACATCGTCTTACAAGATAACTCCTTGTAGGTGAGGAGTGAAAAGAAAACTGGCATAACTGTCTCCTCTTGTTAAATCTGCTACATTTAGAGAGTAGCCAGTAGGAATTCTACTACTCACTTTGGAAGTACTCCTCAAACATTACCTTTGCCCGAGGCAAATAAGTGAAGGAAGATTAAAAAAAAATGCACATTTGCACATGTGCACAGCGACAAATGGTTTCAGAAGACTTCTTCATGTGTTTTGATTATGGCTGTGTTGAAATATTAATAGCATAGCAATATTGTTAGTAACTGAAAAAATCTATATTAGTTTGATTAGAGTGATATAACATCTATAAAAAGTGAAAATATTCAGGTTTTTGTCTGCTATTTTTCTCTCCTTCACTAACACATCTATCAGAGTGTTCATAGTGTTTCTTTGTTGTTTCGCCTCGGTGTATAGCATAAAATAAAGGCAAGTTGATGCAGAACCTAAACAGTTGGGATGGAAAGGAACCCTCTGTCACAGAATCATGGTTTCTGTCTTCCCTTTTATATGTATTTGAAGGAAGCATTTAACTCCATGATGGAAGCAAGTAAGGATCATGGCCATGAATTGAGGATGGTTTTTAACCAAGGTTTGATGTGGTGGTGGGGAGGGAGGGCTATATTTTCCTCTTGCTCTCTCCACAGTGACGCTGCATCTCAGTGTAATGATTCATAGCCACAAACGGCATAGAGCCCATGTTTGTCAGCTAACTACATGCATCTGACACAGACTAGAACTCCCATTCTAATACCCTAAATCTGTAGTCTTCTATCACTTGAGCTTAAAGGAAACTTTCTAATTGCTGATAGTAATAGAACTGATGTTATAGTAGAAATGAGAACAAAATTCATTGTTTCTTGTCATGATATTTGCCTTTGATCTTGATCTTGCTAAGCAATCTGGTAGCATGGACCCTGTGCCTGTGCAAAATCCTATTATAGTCAGTGGGATGTTCCGGGGTCTCTGGTAATTAATCCCATTGCAGGTTTAGGATTTTAGTCATTACTTCCTAAGTGATAAAATGAGAAATTTACCCTCTACCTTCTAGCCTGAGGGTAGATTTTATTAGCCGTGATGAAAAAGTATATGTTGCCCCCACCTCTGCAATTTAAAGGAATAAAACAGCTGTTCAGTTGCATATTGTATTAGTTGTGGTATTTATTTATTTTGAATTTTAAATGCCATTTATTTTGACTGTTCAAAGATCCCTAGCTGTCGTTACATCAGTTAAAATGTGGCATTATCCTAGAAACCATATACTCAGAACTGGTCCAGTTATCATAGTCCAAAACAAACATTAAACCAGCCAATCCGACCAATAGAACAGACAAATCCTCTATCCTACCTAAGAACTCCGTTCTCTCTCTCTTCACCTTCATCAAATGTCCAAGGAACTGGAGAGGCCTGAAGGTCAGCATATTGGGGCATTTTTAGAACAAAATGGGGAGTAAATTCCAAAGTTGATATGCTGATAGAAAATACTCTGCCAGCTGTTTTCCCCGATTGCAGCTCATGTGTCTGTTGACTGTGGTGCTGGTTGTATAAATTTTTGAAGGTGGCGTATCCTATTTTAATTTTTAAAAATAAAAATTAATAGGGAGCCAGTATGGATCATGATATATAAAATATTACACACACGAGTGTGTGTGTGTGTGTGTGTGTGAGATATAGATATACACACAGATATATATATATATATATATTAGGTGAAGTGCAGATTGGGGCTTGGATACAAGTTAATTATAGCAGAAGCTGTCCCAAATTTCTGAATCTGCAAAGGGGTGTTTGATATACTTTAAAAAAGTGTGTACTATATTTATATTTCTGTTTGTTTCTATTACATCTTCATACCCTTCCTGGCTTCACTCTACTTTTTATTTTATTTTCTATAATGGTAGAAGAGTTCTTTTTTTTTTTTTTTTTTTTCCCACAGTAAAGACCACAGCCTTAAAAATGTCTCTCAGTGACACTTCCACTTCCATTTGTAATTGTATAACATCCCTATGGCAACTCTAATTGTTTAAATGGAAAAGGAATATTAGGAAAGCTATTAATATATTTTTAGTGTCTTTTAATGCAGTTTAGCAGCTGGAAATGAAGAAGGCTAGCAACATGTGACCAGCCAACTATCTGTAGAACACCAACAAGCAAGTGCTTCACGAACCACACTTTGAGCGCTGCTGCAGAAATTATGGTGTACCTTCCTCTGTTACCTTCCACCATCTTTTCTTTCTTTTATCCTTCACTCTGTTACATTCTCTTTTCTCCACACATTGTGTTCCCTACTTTCCCCCCTTTTGTCTTTTCTTGCTTCTCTCATAGTCAGTCCCAGAACAATACACTTCTCAAAATCTGTCTTGTAATTGATTTACTCATCTGTCTCTCTTCTCTTCTCTCCTCCTCCCCACCCCCCCACTCCAACAACAAAAGACTTTGAAGTTTTACCAGAAACCTAATAGCCAGTAGGTTAAAGCTGCAAACCAGAAACCAATAGGAAAGACTTGTGTGGAGCAGTGCCCTGATAAGAAGTCAACCCTCTTGTCTTGCATGGTGTCTGTAAACAGCTGAGAAGAAGCAGGCTGGGATTTCTATCAGGATGCTATCTCTGTATCGTTGGCTGGGATTCCGTCTTTCTGTTAATTAGCTAATGGATGCCTAAAAATGTGAATGTTCTTTGTCTACTGGAAAGAAGAAAGAAATATTATTTCCACTCCCCCCCCCCCCCCCCCC